GATGTGTGGCCGCGCTTTGTGGCTGGCTTCTGCGGCTGCGACGATGCGTTTGAGTAAGAAGGGGTTTGTGACGCCGATGATGAAGGAGGTTGGGGTGCCGCCGTCGATGCCGATGCTTTTGAAGTTGGCTTGCATGGTCATGTAGGGTTTCACTACGCCGGCATAGGGTACGGGGCAGATGAGGTCGACGAGGGAGGAGACGGCTTCGCTGGCTAGTTGGGGGGACTTTGCGATGACGATGACGCTTTCACAGAGGATGAGTTTCTCGTAGAGCACGTAGAGGTCCGTGATGCAGGGCATGTAGTGCATGATGTTGTCCCAGGAGCCGACGGGTTCGTAGGCGTAGATGGAGAGGGGTATGTCGGAGATTAGTGGCGTGGGTCCTGGGAGTCCTTGGAGAGGGAAGGCGCGATGTGGTGCGATGTCCAAGGTTAACATGCTGCCCATGAAGGGGAGATCGTGACGTCCGAGTGCTGGGGGCGCCCATGTGTTCATCTGTGAGAATGCAGCTTCTAAAGTCGTTGGGTCGCTGAGGGGTCCGGACTCTGTCATCTTCTGTAAGATGCGATGATGGAAGGAAGTGAAGTTGTGGTGGGAAATCATGACCAGTGTTCTTTGATTGAAACTCCTCTTCATCGTATCGTCAAACTCTTGGCGGAAGATACACGAGCCGTAGAGGGTGTCTGGGCTACCATGAGGGGCATTTGGCGAAGTCAGTTTGATGTCGGGCGAGTTGTTGGTGATGGCGAAGTCGTAACAGAGGTCTTCGGCGGTCTCTGTGTTCTGTTGCTCAGGAAAACTAGATGCGACTTAGATTGTACCACTCGGAACTGGCGGACGAATGTACCTGTTGAAGCATATAGCACTCAGGTCGGCCGTCGAAAAGGGCACATCTGGAGGGTATAGAATCTCGATTTCTGGGCTACAAACTCAATACATTACTCTCCGAAGACATGGCATTCGGATAACCTACCCGATATCAACATTGAAGTTGCAGACTATGCTGCTGATGTAAGTACTCGTCACTCGGGAGACGAACAAGACTTACAAAGCCACGGCCCAGTGCTTGAACCCGCCTGTCGCGATGGGCGAGACCTTGGGCTCCCTCAGTTTCTCCATGTCATCCTCTCGCCGCGAGCGACGGTGGGCGTTCAGGAATTTATTCTTGAACTTTTCCATGTCGACGCTGGTCGCACCTGACAGGGGCAGGTGAACCCTTGGGTGATGTGAGGCGGCGACGACGGCGAAGGGTGTTGGTCAGAGCGAGCGAGTGACTTGGAAGACTAAGCGCCTAGCGGCAAGGGGAGCTGCCAATCGCCATGACACTGAGGGTCGTGAAATTGGGCAGAGGGCAGTCGTGAAGACATTTCCCTTGGGCATCTGCTCGGGGTTGCTTTTGGAAGTGTCTCGTTTATCGGCGGGTGCTAGTGACAAGGATAGGCGGTTGTGTAGGAAGGCACGATGACGTGTGTGCCTTCCGTTAAAAGCGCAGATCCCTGTCGTGACCCCGTCGGCTCGAGCATCGTGGTTTACACCGTGAAGGGCTGCACGTTCCTCCTCGCCCTGCTTCACGACGCTCCCGATACCCCGCACGCTGTTACTCCAAGATGCGATAGGCTAGCCGCTGCACCATGTAGACTTGTCCTGCCCGCGACCTCACCATGGACGTCAATATCACTAAAGCCCTCAACGACAAGCTCTACGACAAGCGCAAGAGCGGCGCGCTCGAGCTCGAAGGCCTCATCCGCGACGCCCTCGCCGCCCAGGACCACGACAGGATAGCCCGCATCGTGCGCCAGCTGTGCCAGGAGTACGCCTATGCCGTCCACCAGCCCCACGCCCGCAACGGCGGCCTGATAGGGCTGGCTGCCGCCTCGATAGCCCTGGGCCCGGTGCGTAGACATATCTGATACACAGCTTGATATCCCTACTAACATTCCGCCAGGAAGTCGCTCGCTATCTCGAAGAAATCGTGCCCCCGGTCCTCGCGTGCTTCAGCGACCAAGATGCCCGCGTCAGGTACTATGCGTGCGAGAGCATGTACAACATCGCAAAGGTCGCCAAGGGCGAGATACTCGTATACTTTAACCAGGTCTTCGATGCCCTGTGCAAGGTGAGAAGACCCATAATGTCTCGTACACCTCGTGAGACAAGGCTAACACGGCCCGGACCGTCCAGATGGCTGCAGATTCGGAGCTCTCAGTCAAGAACGGCGCAGAACTGCTCGACCGTCTGATCAAGGACATCGTCTCCGAGTCAGCTGCCAGCTACGTATCTGTCCTACACGACACGCCCGACCAAGAAGACCCCGAAGACGAGCCCCACCCATTCGCTTTCAATCTCGAACGCTTCCTGCCCCTCCTCGAAGAACGCATCTATGTCCTTAATCCGTTCACACGTTCCTTCCTGGTAGCATGGATCACGCTGCTAGACTCCATACCCGATCTCGAGCTCATCGCCCACCTCCCGCGTTTCCTCGGCGGCCTCTTCAGATTCCTGAGCGACACCAACCAGGATGTATACACCATGACGCAGGCGGCATTGGACAGGTTCTTGAGTGAGATCAAGAAGATCGCGCGCATCAAGAAGGGCATAGCAGAAAGCAAGAGGAGCAACAGCAAGGACGATCGCAGAAACTCTACGGGTAGCATCCATAGTGGCAGCGAAGCGACAGACAGCACGCCTCTTGAGCTGGACGATTCGATCAACGACAAGGGCGAGGCAAGCGGAGAGAGCGGCTCCATCTCTGGCGACAGCGGAAAGTCTGTCAACGGCGACGGAAACTGGATACCTGGCCAGGACGTGCACGTAGACCATCCCAAGATCCTTGAGATTCTAGTCGACTTCCTGGTGCCCCCATCAGGTGAGTTTTAACAAATACTCTATACAATGGTCGAAACTGACTGGTGTAGGCACAGAAGAAGAGCAAACCGAGATACTGCTCACGGCACTCCGCTGGATAGACAACTTCTTCGACATCTGCCCAGAGGACATCATGCCGTTTGTTCCCAGTCTATTGTCGCATGTGCTGCCACGAATGTCGCACGACGTCGACACCGTTCGCAAAGCTGCAGTCAAGGTCAACGCCTCGTTGATGGACTATATACTGTCATTATCTGACGATAACCGCCCCCGCGATGGTGCTGCAGGTGGACAGATTCAGCTACCGCCTTCCCTATCTGAGCTAGGTAAAGAGCTCACCGGCACGCAGCGGCGCGATTCTAATCTATCTGGCCGATTGCTCAAGGCAGTCATCCGCGATCAAGCAAACAAGGCTGAATCGCCAGATGGCAAGGGTACGCGATCGCCCACACCAGCAGAGGAGCGAGGTCCATCCCCGCGTCCAATACCAGAGCTGGACTACCAAGCGGCTGTCAGCGCTTTGACACTGCAGTTCTTGAATGAACACGAAGCCACTCGCGTTGCGGCCATAGCATGGCTGATAATGCTCCATAGAATGGCACCTGGCAGAGTAGGAGTCGAGTTCAAGACAGCAAGGCAATTACTAACAGCTTCTAGATACTGACGGTGGACGACGGCACATTCCCTGCATTGCTAAAGACGCTTTCGGACCCTTCAGATGCAGTCGTTACGCGCGACTTGCTGCTTCTCTCCCAGATCTCCCTGCACAGCGATGATACCTACTTCACTTCATTCATGGTTAATCTCCTGAAGCTGTTCTGTACAGACCGCCGACTCCTCGAAACTCGAGGTAACCTCATCATCAGACAGCTCTGCATAACATTAAGCGCTGAGCGCATATACCGCACCATGGCTGATTGCCTTGCGAAGGACGAGGATGTCGAATTTGCCAGTATCATGGTCCAAAACCTCAACAACAACCTCATTACTGCACCAGAGCTTGCTGATCTACGAAGACGGCTCAGGAACCTCGACAACAAGGATGGCCAATCGTTCTTTGTCATTCTGTTCAAGGCGTGGTGCAACAACGCTGTCGCTACCTTCTCACTGTGCCTACTTGCCCAAGCTTATGAGCAAGCATACCATTTGCTTCAAGTTTTGTATGTTCCTCAATGTGGTATTGAACGGGCACTACTGACTATGATAGTGCGGACCTTGAGATGACCGTCAACATGCTCATCCAAATCGACAAGCTAGTTCAGCTACTCGAATCTCCCGTTTTCACCTGTAAGGCTCCTTCCTGCTCAACCTCACTACCTTGCTAACTGTGATGGTCAGACCTGCGCATGCAGCTCCTCGAGCCAGAGCGATACCCGCACCTGTACAAGTGCATGTACGGCCTGCTCATGCTGCTGCCTCAATCGTCCGCGTTTGCAGCGCTGAAAAACCGTCTCAACAGCGTCTCGGCCATTGGCTATCTGCATATTGCGCCACAACGCAGCAGCTCGACGTATGTGCACCCTTCCTCCTCCTCCCCTACCCTAAACCACTTGCGGCAAAAAAGCTCAGAAGTTGGCTCGAACAGCAGTGCTAGCAGCGGCATTCCATCCTCTGCAGGATCCAATGTGTCGACGTTCGAACGTCCTGGCCGCTTGAAGCCAAGGGATGGTCTGGGTGGCCCCGAGGCTGGTGGAACCGTTAAGTGGTCAGAACTGCTTGACAGGTTCAAGCAGACGCAGGAGAAGGCGAGACGCACTCAGCGGATGGCGAGCATGGGTGAAGAGGAGGAGATGCAGGAGAAGATGGGACCCAGGGCACCTACGCCAAGTGCACCTCCCAAGAGCGTTGCTGGGTTGAGGCCTGGCAGTCCGGCGAACGCGATGCGACCCCCTCCCCAACCTGCGCCACCGGGTCCAGTGCAGGGCCACAAGCCGAGGTCCAGTCTGAGCAACCTGGGGCGGTTTGCTGGTGGTGTAGCCGGAAGGAGGAAGGACAAGAAGTAAAACTTCAGACTTATTTCTAGCTTGTGATTTGTGCGTTGGCGCGGGGGGACTTCAACTGCATTGCAGGCGTTGTTTGGGCAGCAGTAATGATGGGTATTCTTCCAAGCATGAATTGGCGTAATCTGAACCACATCTTCAACGATGCTTGCCCTTTCTGAACCTGACTCCATCCACGTCTTTCTCCTTCCACCCAGTCGCGTCACCCTCCTTGTCATCGTCCTCGCCCAACACCCATGTCTTGACAATCTCCTTGATCTCCGGTTTCTTCTTTTCTAAGCGTTTCGCTTCCCGTACCTTTCTCACGTAGCCGCTGTATACAGCTACCTCGGCAACTGCGATACCCAATGATCCTCCCATGCTCAGTCCTAGTCTACTGCCTACACTCCAGTGTCGCGCTGCTACCCATATGAATACTGCCACACACACAACCGAGACCAAGATGTTTATGATGAGAATGATCTGCCGATGCACTTCTTCGTAAGATAACTCCTCTTCCTCGCTGGTGGTTTGTGTTGCTCCTATCGAGAATGGTTCTGGGGCGCGGGGGAAGCGCTGCGAGAAGGATTCGCGTGTTGGCGGTGGGTGTAGCATGCGTTCGTAGGAGAGGGCTTCTTGCTCGGCGCGCAGACGGGCCATCAGGGCGTGGTATTCGGGGGTTTGCGTGGGTTTGGGGGGAGGCGGTGGGATGTAGACTGTTGTGTTGTGCAGGAGGGCGGCGAGGGTCGTTGGGGTGGGAGATGGGGTGTCTTCTGTGGTTTCTGAAGCGTCTTTGGTGTCTTTATCGACATGCTTCTTCAGCAGCTTTGACAGGTCGATCAACTGGCTGTGGGAGATGGGATTCCCGACTTTGGGCTCCGCAAGCGAGGGCTCGTCGGCATGCTGGAGCTTTTCGTATTCATCGGCGAATACGTCTTTGGCTTTTGCGACTGCCCGGACGATACCGGGAGTCATAGTAAGCAGGACCATGGCTGAGTGGTGTGTGTTGTGTAGACGGTAAGAAACAGCGTCACAGGCACGCGGCATCAACGACGCGACAGGGATGTGCGGCGACCGAGGGGAGCTAGCGTTCGGAACGTCATGGATATTTTGACTTCCTCCAAATCTAGCCGATAGCTGCGGGCGAACATATCACTAGTCCACTTCACCACCACCACCCCCTCTGTGTGCTCCGAGACGCTGCTCCAACCCCTCAATTGCACCGTCTCTGCCCGTTTCAGACAAAGTTTCACGGCCCAACCCCCCATGACGAGCCGCACACCCCGGCTCGCGACGTCCATCGCGCGACAGCAAACTTCGTCACTATCGCACATCTCAACATGTCCATACCGTAACGCCGCCGCCCTCGCCCGCTCAATACACACCCAGAAGAATGCGACACCAAGCCTCCACCACCCCTCGCGGCGGCGAAACCAGTCGTCCTGGGCCGCCGCCGCCCACGTAGCGCAAAACGTCATGTCGTCGCCGCCACCCGATGCGCCCATCAAGATGGACCCCTTCCAAACCGTCGCCCGCGAGATGAAGTTCCTCACCGGAAACATACGATCCCTACTCGGATCCGGGCACCCCACCCTCGACACCGTCGCAAAGTACTACACCCAGAGCGAAGGAAAATACGTGCGCCCCATGCTCGTCCTGCTCATGAGCCGAGCCACAGCCCTCACACCGCGGAGTTCGCGACGAGACTTGGGAATTGGGAGTCAGAGCGCGGATATCTCGATTACCAATCCACGGATCCTGGCAGATGAGAACCCGGATCAGAGTCCTATTAGCAGTATACGACATGACTCTGCGTACACGGCTGAAGACAGCGATATCCTCCCTTCCCAACGCCGGCTCGCAGAAATAACAGAGTTGATTCACACGGCTAGTTTACTCCACGACGACGTAATCGACCACTCCGTCTCCCGGCGCGCCGCACCCAGCGCGAACATTGAATTCGGCAACAAAATGGCCGTTCTGGCGGGCGATTTCCTGCTTGGCCGCGCCTCCGTCGCACTCGCCCGTCTCCGCGACCCAGAAGTCACAGAACTCCTCGCTACCGTCATCGCAAACCTCGTCGAGGGCGAATTCATGCAGCTAAAAAACACCGCCAGAGACGAGAAGAACCCTAGTTGGACAGAAGACACAGTAGCATACTACCTCCAAAAAACATACCTTAAATCCGCGTCCCTCATCTCGAAGAGCTGTCGTGCCGCCGCTATCCTGGGTGGCTCGAGTCCTGAGGTCGTGGAGGCGGCGTATCTGTATGGAAAGAACCTGGGTCTGGCGTTCCAGCTCGTAGACGATATGCTGGATTACACGGTCAGCGAAGCGGAGCTGGGGAAGCCGGCGGGTGCGGATTTGGAGTTGGGACTTGCGACTGCGCCGTTGTTGTTTGCGTGGAAGGAGGAGAGTAGTTTGGGGAAGTTGGTGGGGAGGAAGTTTTCGGAGGAGGGGGATGTTCAGAGGGTAAGTCTTGGAATGAATCCGTAATGTGCGGGAAGTTGAGAAGAGTGGAAGTGCTAATTGTTTGATTTAGGCTCGCGAAATCGTTTCTCAAAGTTCGGGTCTGGAGCAAACCCGCGCTCTGGCACAAGACTACGTCGACAAAGCCATCGAGGCTATCTCCTTCTTCCCCGAAAGCGAAGCCAAGACCGGGCTGGTCGACATGTGCACCAAGGTTATGAAGAGGAGAAAGTGAACAAAGACTCGGAATCATATAAACGACAACTCATCCAAAAGCAGCATCTTCGTTTGAGCCCATTTGCAGAATATCTGTATGAATACCATTTTTGCAGATCGATACATGGCACGGTACGGCGCATTTCGCGATATGAGGACAACGGCATCCAGAATCTGACGAGAAATGGTGGACATGTTTTACGGCATCGATGGTACTGGAGTGCTGCACTACGATGGCGGCAACTTGCTGACGCGGGGTCTACTCGTTTCACGATCGATGCCTGGCCGGAGATAACACTCTACTTCTGTATATATACATGTTTCACGAAATACTGGAGAGGGCATAGTCTGGGATTCCATTGGGAAGTCCAAACATATGTTTATATATCGTTTTCGAAGGGCCGTACGATCTGTCCCTTTTCTTGCAAGTGGTCTTTGACTTGTTTGACTGTGTATTCGCCTCTGTGGAACTGCAACATGTTAGTCACTATATCCATGTTCGGAATGAAAGTAAGAATGGATACTCACCATTCCAGCACCCAACGCAGCATCCGTCTTCGTCTTGGCAAACACCTCTTCGAAATGACCTGGGTGTCCTGCGCCACTACTCGCGATAACAGGAATCTTAATCGCGTCCTTGACGTCGTTGATGAGCTCCGTGTCGAATCCACTGTTGCTTCCGTCTTTGTCGATGCAGTTTAACAGAATCTCTCCTGCGCCCATGGCTTCGACTGCGGTGACGAGTTGGCGGACGTCGAAGTCGCGGCCCTCGCGTCCGCCCTTGATGGTGCATTGGTACCAGCAGTACGCCTCGCCGTTGGGACCTGAAGTTGTGGTCTTGATAGTGTGGTGGGGAGTTGCGTTGGGTGAAGAGACGTATACGCGCTTGGGGTCTACGCTGATGACGACGGCTTGTCTGCCGTAGGCAGATGAGATGGTTTCTATGGCTGTGGCGCCGGATAACTTGCTGCCTCGCGCGTAGTACTCTTCCGCTGCGGTAACGGCGTCAGAGCCTATGCTTACTTTGTCTGCGCCGGACTTGAAGTACATGGTTGCGATGTCGAGAGCCGAGATCTTGCTTCCGTCTGTATCTACCGTGTCGCGTATGCCTCCGCCGATTGTCAGAGGCACGAAAACGGTTTCGCTGGTCCGGCGCAGGATCTCGAGCATGGGTGTGTCGGCTACGGGGCAGTTGCGGAAGGATGTGATATTCAAGAAGGTGACTTCGTCGGCGCCTTGTTCGTAGTATTTCTTGGCCATTTCGACGGGCTTGCCTAGATTGCGCACTCCACCGCCGGCTCCTTCCTTTTCGCGGACATCGTATTGGTCGCCTTTTGTTACTACGAGGTCGCCTTGGTCGTTGGTTCGGACGTCGAGACAGGCGATGACGCGTCTTGTTAGGCCTTCTCTTGTTCCGGCTGCTGATGGCTTCTCGGGTAGCTTTTGTGACATGTTGCCATCCAACCAAGCCTTTAGGACGCGTAGACCTGCTGCGCCGCTCTTCTCGGGGTGGAATTGTGTGGCGAAGATGTTTCCCTTTGCGACTGCGCCGATGAACTCCTCGTCGCCGTACCGTGCTGTAGCGACTGCCCAGCCATCCTTCTCCAACAGACCCTCCTCGTATATCGCGGCGTAAGAGTGAACGTAGTAGTACTTTGACGTTGGTCGCAGCCCGTACAATGAGTCATCCGTGACTTCTCCGGTGCGCGATGTGTTTGCGCTGTTCCATCCGATGTGCGGTACACTCTTGTCTGCGTCCTGGAACTTCCGTAGTCGCATAGGGATGACTCCCAGGCCTTTAACCTCAGGACTCTCTTCTGATCCTTCGAACAATGCCTGTACACCAACGCATATTCCCATGAAAGGCTTCCCCGCCCTGATGTGTTCGCGGATGGGTTCGACGTAGCCGGCTTTCTCTAGCTGGGACATGCAGTGGCCAAAGTGGCCGACGCCGGGAATGATGAGTTTCTAGGGGCGATGCTGCATCAGCACTTGTCAATTGTTGCGCGCGTCTTGGTGAGAGGGCGGTGGTACCTCGGCAGAGGGCACGTCCGCGGGCGTCTTGACCCATTCGACCGTGTAGCCAACCTTCTCGATGGCATTGACGAGGGAGCGGACATTGCCGGCGACATAGTCGAGCAAGTGAACTGTCGGCATATTCGTGGATGCGTTCAGAGGAATGACTGTAGGATGTTTGACTCGAAGAGTGAAAAGTAATTTGGATGCACCCCACGCGTCATTGGAGGGGCAGTCGCGCTACTGCTAGCGCCCGCTGCACCCCTGTCAAATAATTCTTTGGATCTTCATCGTCGTCGCGAAGCCATCGCAAGCACTCACGACCCACGACCCACCACAATCCCATTACAACCTCGTCAATATGGTGCGCAAACTCAAGCATCATGAGCAGAAGCTCTTGAAGAAGGTATGAACCACCTGCTCCGCTCCACCACTGTTGCGCATCGCCGTCGGGATCGCCGCGCGAACAGCCGCTATTCTCGCCATGTCCAACGGTGCTATGTCCCGTATATGGGGAGACAAAGAGTTATTGAGAGGCACTAACACCTTTCGCAGGTCGACTTCAACACCTACAAAAGCGACAATGACCACCGAGAAGCAGCAGTCATGCGCCGCTACGCAATCCAAGGACGCGACGACTACCGAAAATACAACCAGCTCGCCGGCTCGTTGCGACAACTCGCACATAGAATCGCCAACCTCGATCCATCAGATCCATTCCGCGCCAAGCAGGAGGACCTGATACTGGAGAAGCTGTTCTCAATGGGCTTGCTGGGAACTGGTGGCGGCGGCCGTGGAAAACTATCCGATGTCGAGCACAAGCTTACAGTGAGCGCATTCGCACGGAGGAGATTACCAGTCGTCATGACCCGGCTCCGTATGGCAGATCATGTACAATCTGCAGTCACACTCGTTGAACAAGGCGTAAGCACACTGGACTCCGGACATGGTTTCTTTAGAAGTCATCTCCCTAGACACAGCTAGGAGCTAACAAACACACAGCATGTAAGAGTTGGAACCGATGTCATCACAGACCCAGCGTATCTGGTCTCGAGGAATATGGAAGACTTCGTCACATGGGTCGACTCCTCCAAGATTAAGCGCAACATCATGAAGTACCGCGACAAGCTGGACGACTTTGAACTCGAGGCCCTATGAGGTTTTCGTTTCTTCTTTTTAGCGGCGTTTGTGGATACAGCATTTGAAGGCGTTACGACATACTGGCGATATCCGGCTGTGGCAAAAATTTGATCTTTGTTCTTCCACTTATAACTACCATCGCAATTCAA